AAAGAAGCAAATTTGAAAAGATTTGATGACAACATAACTTAGCTCTTTATTATACTACTATACTACAATACAAGAATTTTGTTTTCATCTATTTTAAACAACACGTAAGAATAGCCAGAATAATAAGAGTAATAGCAACAGCAAACAGGACAATACCAGAAACAAGACGACCATTATCACCACCATTGCCGAGCCCTGCAGCACCAGTGAAAGTAAGAGCAATAGCAGGGATAAGACAAAGAAAACCAAGAGTGGCACTAATAATGGTAAAACGACCAGAATAACTGCCGCCACCACCGCGAAGCTTATCGATTTTCTTTGGCGTTGGCTGAGGTTCATTGTATAATACGATAGATTGTGTAGGTTCTGAATGATAATAGACAATTGTTCAAATCATTTGAATTAAACAAGCACATTTCATGCTCTAGTAATCAAGTGAGAATGTGAAAGGGTTGATCATATAGAGAAAAGCTCAAGTGTAATAGTGGAAAAACCCATTCGAACAATAGATTGTAAAATTTGACACTTACGTATATAAACTATATTTATGAGAATTTTACATTTTGATTAATGGTGTTTAAGACAAAAGTAAGCACGTTTTTAAATGAGAAATAAGTTTCACAACTTCGTCAGCTATTGTGTTTCTACTGATAGAAAGAGAAAAATAGTATAGTTGGTTATGATTTCCTTAGTTATTATTGTTTGTTTAGGTCCTTGAATTATAGTCTCTTTTGTTGAAATGTATCGCAAAGTATCTCGTAATATCAGTATGATTATAGTGACAAAAACGAGTTCAAAAGGGGGTTCTGCTGTAATCCTAAAAGACACTACGAATCTACTCATAGGACTAAAATTTTATCTGCAAAAGTTACTTGTATTCAGATTATAAAATTTCACAAGTTCGATATGAAATATTATGATGGTAGTTTCTCACAATTAATCTGATATTTCGATCATGTAGGACAAATGTTTCTCATAGATAGTTTAATTCAACAATCCTTCATATCGACATTGATAAAGGTGACGATACTATGATGGTCCGATTAATGTAAAGAAATATAATTTACAGTTGCTAAACGAAAAAAGACTTGTTACAATGCTATTATTATGCTAAGAATAAAAAATATCTTATGAGTTGAAATTTTCGATAGTACTTCTTTCTACATTTTTTCTCTTCTGTATTAATCCATTCGATCCTTTTCCTTTCGGCCTTCCTATGGCAAACATTCATGTAGTGTAATACCCTCTGGTGATGGTTTTGTGATACCCTCACGTTGAATAGCTGAACTTCAAGTATTTAATAATTGAATACTTGAATAATTGAAGCGTAGTTCAATATTTGAAGTCCAAATATTCAACTATTCAATAACTGAACTCAAGTTTCAAGGTTAACATGTATGTTAATAAAATAATTAACTTGGTAAAGAAAAGAAAACGTAGAGAAATAAAATGATAAAAAAAAAGAAGACTTTGGAGAAATCTTCAAGAAAAAGTACTATCCGTCTTTGTGGATAAGTGATTCCCTTTGAAGATACAGGGTGTCTCATAAGTTGTGGCAGATTTTTTTAAATCTAATTTTTGATGATAATGAATACAAATCAAACTCAAACTTACACGTATCATACAACTTAACATGTACTTTTATTTCATATATTTTATTTGAATTTAATCATTGGATATACAAAAAAATAAAGAAATTGGTACATGTGCAAAATAAGCACACCATCAATGTGTTACAATATATATACCCCGACAAAAGTTTCACTCTGTATTTCTCATATATTGTCACTATAAAAATAAGTTATTTTAAAACTAATTACATATTCTGAAAGCTCGCGGAGTTTTCTATCATTCTGTAGAATTAGGTTTTAGTTTTGACCTTTTCATTACCAAAATAAATTGAAGACAACGAAGGCACCCTCATGTCCAGATTCCCAGACTTGATCTTTCCTTCGTCATCAAAACTAGTTTTAAAAATTTTTCATCCGTATAGAATGATCTGTATGAAAAAGTAACTATAGATTCTGATAGAGCTTAAAATTCTCTATCACCCTGTCTATTTACTTATTTTCTTGCGTTTATAGATTGAAATAAAATTGAATACAATGAATATACTCCGAATCGACTAGCCCAAAAAATTTGCATTTTTTTTCGCTACTTAAATTTAAGACACTGTATTAATACATAATATCATAGAGCATTTCAAGTGCTATCAGAATGTGTGATTTCTTTTGTAAAAACTTACTCCCATAGGAATAGTAATTGGAGAAAAAACTAACAAAGTAGCGAAAAAATGCAGACTTTTGATATTTGTCAATGGAGGGTATGTTCATTGAATTTGTTTATTTTCTTGTATATTCAATGATCTAATCCAAATAAAATATATGAAATAAAAGTACATGCTAAGCCGTGTCATATGTATAAGTTTGAGTTTAATTTGTATTCATTATCATCAAAAATTAGATTTAAAAAAATCTGCCACAACTTATGAGACACCCTGTATTTTGAATAATCTTTGCCAAAATAAACCGTCGTTTTTTATGGTCATCATAACTGATAATCAAATAGTTTTACTAATGAACAAATTATTGCTTTTCTTTCGAGAAAAATTGATTTTCAGGCATCGCTTCCTGTTTGGATCATCGCTTTGTGAAAAAAGCTCATCTTCTGATAGGCGTACCATACTTGATGATTGAAAAAGAAGACATAGAATTCTTTATATCTTACCTTTCATCTTGGCTTTGTTTCACAAATCAATAGGACTAGAAACATAAGAAAAGATATTATTACATAAATATGCAAGTAGATCTAGTGATGAAAGATACTGAAGAACTCGAAAAATGATTCTAAAAATGAAAGTTAGGCGTCTGTTCAAATTTCAAATACTCGCCTTCGTCTATTCACTTTATACAAGAATACGTTCTTCGTTGAATGAAAAGAAGCCAAATTTACTCACTGCCTTCGTATGTAAGAAAGTAATATCAAGGCACTTTTTTCTTCCTGCAAAAGAAAGAATGAGTCGTTTCAAGGAAGAAAAAAGCTGCTTGACAGTAATGAACCTTTTTTTGTTCGGTCAACACTCAAATAGAAAAAAAAACTTTCTTACCAATTAATATAAAATTTATCGCATGTATGTGCCGTGATGTAACAGTTCTAAAATGTTCATTCAAAAATCGTCACGAAATGTCCTACATTTTTCTTTCTTTCATAATGTACTCGTATATTATATACGTAGGGAACATCGTGAAAGCACAAAAATTACATGAGTTGTCTAATTTGAATTCGAATATGAATGCACAGTTTAGTGTATGATATCAATTTAAAAGTAAATTAACAAACATGGACAGTTTTCTGCTAGTCGGAGAAAAAGGAAAAAGACAAATGTGGGGTAGTGACACTCCTGCAGATAACTAAATATAATATTTTAATCCTTTCTCCAAATTATGGATTATAATCACCCCCTGCTCCGACTCTCTTGTGCCGCTCCTACCGATCGCAAAAAGGAAGTTACAATCTGTAATTTCTAATCGATCAAATAGAATTGGCAAAACCTATAATTCTATAACTTAAAACCTGGCAGTTGCCTTTAGTAAATCCGTACGTGGGTCGAAGTTCGCGATGATCTTACTTAATCCGATCATTATAACTAATGATGTTAAGATCTATATATAAGTATGATATAAAATGTGAAGCAAACGTTGCAGTCGTCGTAAATACAGACATCGTATAATGCTGATAAATCAAGCACGTTTACATAAAAATGATAGTTAATTATTAAAAAGGATTTTTATTTATGTAGTATCGTTTCATTTGTTAAATTTATTTAGAGATGGTAGAGGCAGATTTACTTGATTATTAATATATTCGTTCAATGTTAGTTGATTGAATTCAATGAAAGCTTTTGTATTGAAATAAAACTCATTATTAAAAAATAGATTTATTCGCTTGAACTTCCTTTACTCATATTGAATTAATTGTAAATCGTGTTTATTCGTGTTTCTATTGCATGAAATTCAAAAGAAACCAGTAATAAATCTGTTCGAAACAGAAAAACTTTTCAAAAGAAAGTACAATTGTTTTACTATTGCATTATCGAAGCCAAATCAAATATTCATCGTTTATTTCTTTTTCATTCTCTCAAATATCGATTGACCCTTAATTTTACAATAATGAATCGAATTCATTTTATCCAGTCACGTTTTTCCGATTCATAGTCAAAAGTACATTTATGGGCCATTTATTTACTACAATGGCTACAGTATAGTTAGAACAACAAACACTATCTAGATGGAGATTAGTTTAAGTTTTACTTCAATAGAAATCTTTTCTATTTCGAGAGTTCTGTTGCATCAAAACCGATAGTTACTAAACGAAAACGGTATTGATCATGATGATATACCCAATAAAAGAAAATTTTTATTAATTCAACAACAAAGGATGATGATGAACGTTTATCTCTATAATCAATATTTATACCAATAATAATGTTTGAATCTCAACTTTGACGTCGATATCTTAAGAATAAAGATGTATATGTGGATCATATGATAATTTTTGCTGTTCAACGTCAAGCATCCATTAAAATTGTACGTGAGAAAAAAAATAAAAATGTTTATTGCACCTGTTTTCGATTTTATTTATTGATGTACTTTTTTATTTATTTATTTCCTTGATTATATTATTGACTTTTGTACATATTTTTCCAGTAAAACATCTCACCCCTACTCTCAGGATTGTGTCTCCTCATAATACAAAGGACGACAATCTTTACAAATGTCGGCCTATAACCGTTGCGGTGCTTCGCGCACTCAATCCATGTTACGATTGAGGGTACCATATATTTCTCTTCACGAGCTTGCGATTACATATCATACTTTGTTCCTTTCATGTCAATTCTTACTTCAAAATACCAAAAAAGTAAAATTTGAAAAGATTTGATGACAATATAATTTAACTCTTTATTATACTACAATACTACCAAACAAAAATCTTGTTTTCATCTATTGCGAACTAGCCGCAACACAAGCAACAATAATAAGAACACCACCAACACCAAAAAGAACAATACCAGCAATAAGAGGCTCATTAGAAAAACCGTAATCACGAAGACCAACAGTACCGCTAATGGTAAGAGCAATAGCAGACACAAGACAAAGAAGACCAATAATACGATTAATAATAATAAAACGAACAGAATAACGGCTATCATTACCGCTATGTGTAGCAATTGTATTTGACGTTGCCTGAGGGTCATCGTACAATAGGCTAGATTGTTTAGGTTCTAAATGACAGTAGACAATTTTTTAGGTCATTTGAATTAAACAAACACATTTCATACTCCACCAATAATCAAATGAGAACGTGAAAGTGTTCATGGCATAGAGAAAAGCTCAAGTGTAACAGTGAAAAAACCGATTTGAAAAAGAGATTGTAAAGATTGATACTTACGTATAAAAACTGTATTTATAAGAATCCTACGTTTTGATTCATGTTGTTCAAGACAGGAGTAAACAAGTTTTTAAGTGAGAAATAAGTCTTGCAGCCTTGTTAGCCATTAAGATTCTGCTTATAGGTAGAGACAAACAGTAGTTGCTCTTAATTTTCTTAGTGATCATTGTTCGTTCAGGTTCGTGAATTATAGTCTCTTTTGTTGAAATGAAATTTTTGAAGATTTGGTGAGCCTAGCTAGTAAGCACTTATTGCTGCAGTTTCATGCCTATGTCAAAGTGTTGATCTCCAGCCATACTACGGTGTAAAACAGCTAGTAGGTTTCCTAAGAAAATGGAATCGCAATGGTCCACTTTTTTGCCTATAGTAAGAAAAGATTATCGATTTTAATACCTGATTATCAATCTAGCGATTCAGTGACTCTCAAAAAAAAACAAATCATGGCAATTAATGCTATTTTAAGCATGACTAATAACTAGTGCTGTTTAGCAAGACAAAGGAGTAATAATTGAGTTTTTGTAAAACTATAGTCATTTCCAATGTTATTGTTTCTTTATCGCAAGGTACCTTCGATAAACTCAAGAAACTACCTTTGATTTGAAATTTTGCTCAGAAATAGCTTTGACAATACTTATATAAAGCTCGTAATATAAGCATGATTATAGCGACACAATGAAGTTCAAAAATGACGTTCCATTAAAAGGTGCTACGAATCTACTATTCAGATTGTAAGATTCCAAGAATTTGATAAAAAATAGTATGACACTAGTTTTTCACAAGTAATATTCTATTACGATCATGTGGAGAAAAAAGGTCCCTTATAGACAATTTAATTCGACAATCTTCCGTATCGACATTGATAAAAGATAGTCAAGTTTTACCGTTAGACGGTACCTAGCGCTTGAGAAACACAAAAATGATAGAATCTATATCTTTATTCAGTTGGAATATATACTAGGTGCAAGAGCAAAACAAGCTAAGACAATATTTACTATTCAACATTGTATAGATAATCTTGATAAACGATATAATGATGATCTTATTAATGTAACGGGATATTTAGATGGCTTATCATTTATAGTTGCTAAATGAAAAAATATACATATTATTAATTTTTTCTTCTTTTATTATCTCTGATTTCTGTATGATTTATATTACAATGCTATTATTATGCTAAAAATATAGAATGTCTTATTAGTTGAAATGTTCGATATTTGTCCTTCAACATTTTTTCTCTTTGGTATTAATCTATTCGATCCTTTTCCTTTGCCTCATTATGACACACCCTCCAGCAGTACGACGCCCTCACATTGAATAGTTGAATAATTGAAGTTTAGTTGAATATTTAAAGTTGAACTATTCAATACTTGAATGGAAGTTTCCAGTTTTAGAGGTGTGTTTATGAGATCATTGACTCGGTAAAAAAGACAGAAAACGTAGACGAATAAAATAACGAAAAAGTACTATCTAACTTTGTGGGTAAGTGATTTCCTTTAAAGATATTTTGAATAATCTTTGTCAAAACAAACGGTTGTTTTTTATGGTCATCATAACTGATAATCAAATAGTTTACCTTTCATCTTGGCTTTGTTTCACAAATCAATGAGGTTAGAAACCTAAAAAAGAATATTATTACATGAATATGCAAGTAGATCGA